GGGTAACATTGACCGGCTTGGAAATTAAGTTAAAATTACCATAGGTACCTATATAACATATTTTATGTTTGATACACCTATTAATGTTTTTTTCTTTATGTTTCAGACTCTATAGAGTCTTATATATGGTAATTTTAACTTAATTTCCAAACCGGTCAATGTTACCCCGTCACAGCTGCCATTAGGTGGTCACATTTTGCCCATTGCCCCCCATTTGCAAACTATGACACTTTCCTAAAATTTGTCTTATGCATTTGGAACTAGAAGAGTTCTACTATAATGCACCACAACCTGGAGTTATTTGGAGTTATTTTACCAAAAAATAAAATTGATTTTACCACCCGGTCAAAGAAACCCCAAGAGCTGGGGTAACAAAGACCATCACTTTTTTTGAAAATACATCAAAACTATGAGAGGCAGGAGCCAGCAATATATGGTGAGTAAAGCTAGAGTATAGACCTGTATTTTGTATGTTTCAATTTAAGTTTAACTTATCTAGTAAAATAACGGCATCATTATGAAATATGAAAGTGGTCAAAGTTACCCCATTTTACGGTACTCTGTTCTAGAAGAAACTAGACAGAGAATATAACACATACACACCTTCCCTTGCAGCTGTTCCTGACCAACTGAAACATTTTGGCACCTAGAAGTCATGGCGCTAGGGGGAAGTTCCAATATTGCATGCTGGCGGTTAAAGTGTTAAAGTTTTCTCATGACAAAAACTCCAATGTGACAGATATTAGAGTTGACTTCCCACAACACAAAATAGTAACAAGTGGTTGTTTAATCAAATAATATGTTTCTAGATATATAATATTGAATATCAGATTTGTACTTTTATTAAAAACCTTTTAACATAAGAATTAGCAGTTGGTCCTGTCTTACCCCAGCCTGGTCCCATCTTACCCCAGTGGGGTAAGATGGGACCAGCTCACTTTTTTGAATCTATACAGAAAACTATGTGAGATGCAAAACGTCTGAGTTGTAGCTTAGAAGCCTTTTGCATAGATACACCTTGTGATAGGTCCAGAGTTTTTTAGTTATTCATGGTACCGTCAACCGGGGCAACTCGGTACTGGCGGGGCAACTCGGGACGCACCTCCGACACGGCGTAAAACTGTTATAGTAGCGAAACTAATTGGAATATTGCAAAACTAAATATAGTGGCGTAAACGTCAACATTTTTCCTATCTATGTAGTATAAAGGCAGTCGAAAAATACGACATTTACTAGCTTTGAAAAATTCCTGAAAAAAATGGTGAAAAGCACTGTTTTGAAAAGTTACTTCTGCTAAGGTCTGTAGCAAAAAAAAAATATTCGCCGTATTAAAAAATTTTACTTACATAAAAGTTGCACCCAGGTGTTGGCTTGAAAATGTAATTGGCAGATTTTGCCTATCTCATTCCAAAAAAATGGCGGCCATTTCTGCACGGCGGGGCTACTCGGGCCACCCCCCCTGGGGCTAGTCGGGACACATCCAAAAACGCATTTACGGTAGAACCTCAGTTAGCAAAAGCTCCAACTACGAAAAAAATTGATTAAAAACAAAGAATATTGATCACATTTTCCTTGCTCAGTGAAAAAATTTCACTTATCGAAAAATTAGTGCATCATC